ACGGAGTCGGGAGCCCGGCGGGTCTGCAGCCCCACCCTGAGGTCTGGCCGACTTCGGACAAGTTCCTTCGTGTCTCAGTCCCTCGTTTCTACAAGAAAAACGAGGGAAAGAAGAGAACATGCTGTGGAAGGTTTGTACCAGAAGGGAATGTGTTAATGTTTGAATAGCACTAAATAGAAATTGCCCCTGAGGAAGAGCTGGCTGAGTTTTTGCTGAATTTTAAAAAATATGCTTCTTTCTAACATATAATAACATTTAAGTAATGCTTGCTTTTTTGGTTATTTTATCTTATTTTTGTATATTTAGAAGAATGTATAGATAATAATTTTATATATTTATCGAGTACAATGAGATGTTTGGAAACGTCTCCATTTGCAGCTCTGTCCAGGCCTGGTACTTCCACAGACTTGTTATCAATTGTTGGAAAGACACCCATGCTAGCTACGCCAAACGGACGCTTTCGCCCCCTAGTGGTGCACAGAGTAATTCTACTTTTAATCTGAGTGGTGAGAGGGCCTCTGACCCTATAAATGGGGTGGAGATGACAGACACATCCCAGCCCACAGTGGGCTCGGGCTCTCCTGTCCTGTGTGAGTGCATGTGTGTGTGCGAGTGTGCATGTGTGTGTACAGGAGTGTGTGTGAATGTGCATTTGTGTGAGTTCATGCGTGCGTATGTGAGCATGTGAGTATAGATGAGGCTAGGTGGGAGAGCCTCCCCGATCCCCTCCTCATTCATCCCTGATGCACACGCTCCGTCGGGAAACACTGACACCAGCTCTGAGTCCTAAGGTGAACAAAGTCAGGGGATCTAATGTGCAGCGTGCGTGGTGATAGATGTGCTAATGAATTTGACTGTGGCAATCATTGCACAAGGGACTGTAGAGATATATCAAACCATCATGTTGCATAACATGAATATATTCAATAATTATTAATTAAATATTTTTAAATGTTTTTTTAAAAAAGTGAAAAGAATACCAACACCTCCTTTGTAGCTCTGTTTTCCCCCATTCAGCTGTGAGCAACTGTGAAGGCAGAGGCTGGGTCCGAGTGACCTGTGCACCCAGGACCCAGCACGGGCTGCCAGATGTTCAGGCTTTAAAACTATTTATTGACGCACAAGGTGAAGCATGACCCAGAGAACAGGCTCAACTCTCAGTTGTGCACACAGAGCCCAGCGCCACGGTCAGCAACTGAACTCCAGGGAGGTCTGCAGGGTCAGCTGAGCAGGTAACTACAGCACAGTCTCTGCGGCACTTGGGGATTCGCAGGAGACATCAGGGACCAGCTGGGAGACTGCAGGGCTGTTCAGGACGTCGGCTGGGTGGCTGCAGCTGGGTCTCTGGAAACAGCCAGTGACTGCAGGTGGGTCTGTTTGAAGTGTGCAGTTCAGTAGTGGGAAGTTTGTTCATGTTGTGTGCAGTCGTCACCAGCATCCCTGTCCCAAACTTATCCATCTTCCCACTGAAACTCTTACCCATTAAAGACCTTCTCCTCTTGTTTCCTCCTGCCAGCCCCTGGTAACAAATGTTCTCTCCTTTATCTCCATGGGACTGACTATTCTTGGTACCTCGAATAACTAGAGTCACATAATGTGTGTCCTTCTGTGACTGCCGTATTTCACCTAGCATAACGTGTTCCAGATTTACCCATGTGTGGCATGTGTTCTCACAACTTCACCCATTTTAAGATTCGTACTACTTCACCGTGAGTCTGTGCCACCATTGGCACATCCACTCATCCATCAGTGGACGGGTGGGCTGCTGTGATACTTTTTGGCTATGTGATAATGCTGCTATGTGTGTAGGTGGTGTGAATATCTGTTGAAGCCTCTGCTTTGATTTCTCTTGGATTATAAGCAGAGTGAAATTGCTGGATCATATGGTAATTCTTTGTTTACTTTTTTTAGGAACCCACCACACTATTTGGTATAATTTACAACATGTTCCTTTTTCTGTAGTCTAATAAGTCATATGAAGCCATGTTATTATCATTTTTGTTCAGTAGTAACATCCCCAAATCCTTGCATATTAACTGGATAATATAAATGTTTACAAATATTGGGGGAGAAGTAACTAAATAAATGACTCAGTGTTGTGGAGGACAGTTATTTTCCCACAGACCATATTCCTAGAGTATTTGTCTTCCTTGTGCGCAGGCAAAGCAGACTGTGAGACTCGGGCATCACTGACAATGAACACAAAGGGGCTGAGTGTCGGGAAGCCTGACGCCACCAGGACAGAGATGCTCCTCAGCCACTGGCTTGGGTTCTGCATCTGGGTTAGCCAAAATGACAAAATAGCAGCTAGAGATGAAAGGAGACGAACATGCTCACCAGGATGAGGATAGTGTGTGTGGCTCTGGTTTCTGGGAAGTTCTGGGGGAGAGGCGGCTGCTGGATGTGTTGGACTCTCTGCTTGTGCCTGTGCAGGACGAGGACCATGGAGCTGCTGGTCCAGACCATGAGGGCCAAACACAAACCATTCCGTGAAGGAGAAAATGACGCAGTTACTGAGAAGCAAGTCTCCCTGGAATGGGTGAGGAACAGTACAGATATATTTTGCCCATACTCTTATTTTTGTTGTTCATTGGGCCAGTTTTCACCTTACAATACAGGTATTTACCAAAAGGTGCAAGACCCAGCCAAAAGAAACAGCAGAGAACAATGCACTTGGGGATCTAATATGAAGGTCCATCCACCTAGAGATACTGGGGCGAAGCTTAATGGCCTGAAAAGCCACTGAGGAGGCAGGTGGTGCGTGAGGGAAACCCCTCTGGCCACTCTGTGTGAAATAGAAGACAAGTTTACATCCAGCCTCATCCAGGAAGCTTCCCCCCCCAAAGCTGCAAGTGTTCTGGGGGATCCTTCAGAGCAAAGACTAAGTTTGTTAGCTAAGACCAGCTGTTTGAGAATCAAGTCTCTGGGATTCAGTCTCTGTGCGCAGTGATAAAAGAAAAGGTTGGTAAAAGCAAAGGAGTGGAAAATTTCCAAGGATTCCAGCACTAGTCTGAATGAGAAAGGTAATGCCCTAATTTAAGTTAACAGAAACCAATCTGTCCATTGAGAGAGATGTTGGAGTGTGATTTTATTTCAATGAGAGGAATCTAGAGACTGAAAAAGAGAATTAGGTTAATCCCATTGCATCCAGAAAATGCCTTTTCTTACACAACCCATTATTCCAGGGCAATAATGCAAACAAGAACATGTCTTTTATAAGTACAAAGCTATTCTTGCAAAATTATCATTATGTCACACACAATGTCTGGACCCCCACTGAACGTCAAATCTTAGAGAGACTGAAGGGATCCCTTGTGTCCCAGTGGAGCACTGGGCGGCTGGGACGTGGTGAGGACGTTCTCCTAGACCGCTCAGCCTGCGGGACATACAATTATGGGTAGGTGACAAAATGAAAGACTCAGAATATCATGGTTAATTGGCTTTACCTTACTAAGACCAGATAAATAGTATATTGGTAAGCTTTGTGTTTGTTTATATTTTTATATTTTTAAAAAATGAAGGAAATAAATTAGAACCTTTTAAATGGGGACTTGTGTGGATGAGAGGAACTGAAAAAGAGACCTTACTGTCAACCTAGCTACAGAGAAAATTAAACTATCACAGAAAGTAGTAGAATAACTCACAGTATTAATTCCCCTTTGAAGAAAGAACTCACAGTACTACTGACCTTTGTTGTTTTGTTGTTTGTTTCAGACAGATTTTTGCTCCATCACCCTGGCTAGAATGCTGTGGCGTCATTACAGTTCACAGCAGCCTCCAAAATCCTGGGCTCAAGTGATCCTCTTTCTTAGCCCCCCAAGTAGCTGGAACTACGGTGCATGCCACCATGACTGGCTAATTTTTCTGTTTTTTTGAAGAGATGGAGTCTTACTCTTGCTCAGGATGGTGTCTAAACTCCTGAGCTCAATAATCTTCCCTCCTCAGCCTCCCAAGTGCTAGGATTACAGGTGTCGAGCACCACACTTAGGCTGTTGTTCTTTAATAAAACGCCTGTGGCCTAACTTTGTTATCTCTGAGATTTTTGTTTTCTCAGCCTTAAAGGACCCTACATGGAGCAGTAGGAATGTAAGCTCTGTGCACCAACTCCCTGCCTCAGTTCCTGCCAAAAAACGATTCCAAGGACTCAGATAAAGTCAGCTTCACAAGAGGAAAAAAAAAAACAAACGAAAGAACACGTTTCCCTGCCGCTTCTGTTATCAGTCCCTGAAGCAGAGGGGAAAAAACCAACTCTGCCCTTTAAAGCTTCAAGCAACTTTCCTCAGCTGCCCATGCATACCCTCTACCTTTATTCAGTGCCATGCTTTCTCTGTTTCTTTCTCTCTCTGTTCTCTTCTTTCCTTTCTCCATGAGAATATAAACTTTAATTCTGTATATCCTAATTGTTGCGTGACAAGCTTTCTCAGCCTGCGTACAAATTCCACACCTTTGAAGAACACCAGTGCAGAGGCGTAGATGAAGCTGAAATGTTCTCATGCAAAAAGGTTTGTTCTTTTGGTTTACAAATATATACATATTTTGTCAAAAACTTTATAATTCCACGATATTATAAAGTATAATTCATAGGCCTAAAGCCAAACCTAAAAAAGAATAGGAAATGAACTAAATTTCATCCCAAATTATGGTTTAACCAAGCAGAGGATGATTATTTCCACTGAATTTTGGGCATAAATATAAATGTATAAAATATACTTCTATATGTTTCATAAATAAGTATATATTTAAACTTCATAACTTAGTATAATAAATATATACTAGGTCATGTGTATTATGTAATGATATATAGTCTGTTGTAATTACATAATCTTGACTATATACGTAAATTAAAT